AGCCTTAGGCCGCTGCGACGACGCGAGCGGGGGGCGCACGACCGGCGCAGGAGGCAGTTTCGCCTCCAGACCGGCCCGACGGCCGTCCAGCATACGCCCAACTGCGTCAAGAATTGACCGCAGTTGGGCGTCAGGCACCCCTGAGGTCGCGGTAGGGACAGGCTGTGGCGTGGATGGGGCCTCCCGCTCGGGGAGGTTCGCCCGGAAGCGGGCGAACTGACTGCTCAACTCGTTCACCTGCTCCGTCAGCCTGTCATTGGCCATCTGTAGGCGAGACACGTCACCTACTAGGCCCTCCACGACCTCCGACATAGCGGAGGAGGAGTCCTTAAGGGCCCTCACAAAAGAGCCCTTAAGGTTAACTGACTTGGTGGCTACCTTCTGGATAATAGCCACCGCCGCCCTCGCCCTCTCCTGCACAGACACGGGAGCCCGGGGGGCGTCTCCCTCCACCGGCTCCCGAATCTTGAGCAGGAGATCCGCGATCTCCTCCTCCGCTGCGGCCTCGCCGTCCGCTCGGACACGCCTGTAAGACTCCGCCCCAGAGAAGGCGGAGCCCGACGGGACGGGGACAGGGGCACGCGACCTCGCGATCGGCGTCCGTGACCGTCCTCGCTGGCTGCCGGCCACCTTAGGTGGCAGCATGTCTTGCGAGGGGTCTATACCCTCCTCTCCGGAGCGTCCACGCTTGCGACTCCCAGTGTCGCGGAATTCAACATCCATAGCGTCCAGTGCGTCAATCGACACACTGGAGCCACCGTCTGATGAAACCGCGGACCGGGAACGAAGACGCTCCGATGTTCTTCGGCTCCCAGCAGTCAGTCTACTACAGACTACTACTGGGAGCCCCACCGAGATAGGTGTTCTCGACACCACCTCGCCTTCAGTGGACGCCGAATCCACTATACCACTCTTTTTCTTCTCCTTCTTTCCCACCGTTTCGTTGTCCTTTTGGCTTGCCTGTTTCGTTGTTTGTTTGTTTTGTCCTTTTACTTTATTTGTTTCTTCAGTATCCATTATATTAACACGAGTGGGGGAGAACTAAAGGTCCACCCGGGCAGAGATCCCCCAATACCCGGGCAAGCGTAAATTTATGCCCAACCGAGGGGTCCGCAAGTGCCCCGGCTGGGAGTGCGCTTACGACTGAACTACCCATCAGCCATGCATCCCCTGGCCACGCACCAGAACACGGGATTCGGGGAATTTTTTAGAGAGGTTTACATCCTCGCGGTCCGGGCGGTTAAGCCAAGACCCTCGTCCCCGATCAGAGCCGCGAGACTTAACCACAGCGCTCTTCTCGGGATTACGATATGCCGACGGTTGACAGGGAGACTACGTCCCCCTGCCTGCTCGGTGGTAGTGTCAGTACACGCCGAGCCCGTCCTCCTTTCTCCACCGCTGTCAGCGGAGAAACTGTGGCCCCTACAGGGCCCCGCCATCCGGTTTTTTACCGAGGTTTCCTCCTCCATGCTCCGAAGAGCGAAGAGCCAGCAGGGCAACCGGCAGACACGCCCACCCTGCTGGACCAGGCCTTGCCTGAGAGCCGATGAACAGCTGCCTCTTCTGCTAGAATATTAGCCGCTGGCGATAATCCTCTCCTCCAAGAGGACAAGGAGGAAACAGTACCATCGCCAGCGTTTCCAGGGTACACCACGGGGAGGTTTTCTAGCCTAGCACCCCATATTGACACCAGACCTAGGACAAGGTTTAATTTAATTTAAAGGTTTAATTTAAAGAATAAAAACATATTGTATTAATTGAGAATTTATTTATCTCTGACATATCTGAGGACTTCAGACTCATAAAACTAGAACTACATTACATATACATACTTACTAATAGCAATATTTTTTTCTTGGCAATTTTTCGTAAACTCATCGTAGATCGAAGAGTTTACGAAAAATTGCCAAGAAAAACTCTTAGACTATCAAAATTCAAATATTTTCTAAACTAAGACCCGACTAAATCTGTGACAAAAAAACTAATGACTTAAGAAATTAACGACTAAATTTGGAACAGCAAAACAGATCTTCGTTAAGTGCCCTAGGTTTTGAGATATAAGCGTGTATGCGATTCGATTGCTCGAAATTTGTCAAAATCGAAGGGAATAAACCAAAAATTTGTCAAAATAGAAATATAGAAGTTAAAAGGTTTTTAAGATGGCTGCGCGAACGAAACGTGAAGGATTGCGCGGACACGGAGATCTCAGCAACTGCTAAGTTAGAGATCTAATTCTTTTTGTCAATTGAAGACTAAATTTGTCAAAATATGATAATAAAATTTTAATATTTTGACAAATTTAGGGAGTCCTAGAATGAGGGGTAGAATTGATACTGACGCTATCGCACATATTATTTTTGATGGAACTGTGTTGCCCATTAGCCAATCAGTCAAGGATCTCGGTATGCACATAGACCCAACCCTAAATTGGCAAACTCAGGTAACTAGCGTCAGTCATAAGACAAAGCCGCAGTTTGCGGGCGCTGACTATGTTGCACTCCCTTCTCCACTCACCTACTTACGTAACATCCCACCTACAATATCTCTGCTCTAGCCGTCATAATTTCCTTCTTATTTGTCCTTCACATAACTTCGTATCGTACATTCTTCCTTCACTGTCCAAGCGGTAAATCATTGGAACGCCCTTCCCCTAGAGATCAGGACGACCACCAACCGAACAACCTTTAAGATCACAGTACACAAGCTCTATGGAGACTTGTTGACGGAGTCATCAGAATAACCCCTCGTGTCTTCATCATTGCAGGCATATATGTATGGATGTATGTGTGTATGTATGTTCATGTTTTTATATTTATAGTACTATAGAGCACGTATAAATTATATTTACATCTATATATGTATACCCAGTATATCTATGTAGTATAACATCTTGCAACTGACTACAATTTAAATAATTTATCTCATTATACACATGCCACACACAAATCTCTGAATCACCCCAAAGTCGACTGGAAGAAAATGCCTATCGCATTAAGTCCGCCTTATGCAATGTATTTCCAGGAAGTATATAAATAAATAAATAAATAAATTTCCTAGGTAAACCTAGTTCCCGGCAACTGGTACCCGAGACGGCGTGCGGTTTTTGGTCGGTTCCAGTCGTCCGACATAGGCACCGGTAGGGGATTTCCGCACAGAAAAAAAAAGTTTCAGTACGTTTGTTTGCGAGTGTACGTGTGCTACATTCGGTTTGCAGGAAACTTCATTGCCGCAGAGTTTGTGGCGCGTGCTATATGCCGAAGTTTACCTTGACAGTCTTGACCTGCCTTGCCGTGCCGTGCCGATAGTGTACGCCGGGTCTAACTTTTATACAAATTAATGTTTAAAGGTTGTCTTAATTTATTAATAAATTGAGAAGAGAAAGAAAGAAAGCTTTAATGAATAATAGTACGAGAATAAACAAGAAGTTTTAAGTGCGTGTTTTATTGATATGGCCTCCGAAAGTGGTAACCCTGTTTTAGCGCCGACATATACTATGACTGCACGGATGGCGTAGTGGTCTAAGCGGTCGCCACGTCCGCTTCCTACTACGCCGAGTGTTGTTGAATCAAACTCCACATAGGATGACACTTTGTGTAGTCCACAAATTGTTGTTCTTAGTCTGGGTGTTCTTTGCGTCCGTTTCATGTATGTTTGCAAAGTCCCCCGCGACACAGGATATATTCATAATGCGGGAGTTATGCATAATGCGGGGAAATATGTAATAAAGTGAGCCTTTGTGAGCCTTTATATGTAATAAAGTGAATACTACAGGTATTCACTACATTAATTAAATATTATTATTTTTGTATTATTGATTATTATTAATTTTGTATTATTGCGTTGTAGTATTAAAAAAAAAGACTTGTTTTTTTAACATCAATTTCCGATATCCGGCACATCACTAATAAAGTGTTGCAAAAAAATTTATCCTTTAGTACCAGATAATTTAATGACTAGTTTTAGTTGTTTTCAACAAATTAGACTGACTGAAAAACTTTAAAAGTAAAATTTTAAATAGATTCAGTCAGATATGGGAGGCAATCGAGCAGACGGGTAACCTGATGGAAAGTGACTACCGCCGTGAATAGACGTCTGCAACTCAGAAGGCCAATTCTCGTAATAGCAGTTTGGTCTCAATTCAGTTCTGATCAACTTTCGATCTCACAACTGTCATAAAAAGTATTTTCGTAGTAAAATAGTAAAATATTACTAAGAATAGCAGATTACAAATTCAATTTTCAGTTACAATATGATATAATCACATTATAGTCAAAGTTGAGACGGAACTTTATTACGAGAATTGGCCTTCTGATATGACAAGCCGGCCTTTGAGGCGGGAGTACCCTCTTTTCTTGAAGATTTGGAGGGCGTATCGGCGTATCTACAGATCGGTTGTGCGAGGCAAAAAGTTTCTTATAAATGCGGAGCGCACAATCCAAGCGACGGATAGATATTAGGTCGAACAATTCCTCGGAGCACTCTTCATGTTACGAGCTTAATTTTTACAGGTATTTGGTAAATTAACATTTCAAATATTGCTAAAAATAATCCTGGCTATGCCCTTGGCTCCATCTGACCTCGTTCCTCAGGAGCTAGGATAAACAATGCATGTTCATGACAATTCAGGTATATTTCTTAAACGAGTATACCGCCTGGAAATGTAGATATTAGTGTAGGTCACGAATAAGTTTGATTGTATGCACGTGTTAAAGGGATTTCATCTAAAACTACTGGGAGTTTTATATCTAATCAAATAAAATATCAAATATAAAAATAGAGTAATGTATTCTTACAATACATATAAGAAAATGTGTGCAATAGTTTCTTAAAAGGTTTAACCAATCTAACTATTTAAGTCATAGTATCGAAATGTTTAACACTATTATTTACTTATAAAAACTATTTACAGAAAATATGATTAATTAAAATATTTCTGAGGAATTTTTAATATATTGCTTAGGTGACTGTCTCCTTTGGCAAGTTGTTGTTGCAATGGTCCGTTAAATGAACTCGTCCGGTTCGCGCGGGGCGTCCAAGTCGCGATAGTGTATCACCGGACGAAATTCGGCGCCGCCGCCCCTTTAACAATCAACCATATGAACTACGTTAGCAGCAACTCACCCAACAACAACAACACAAACGAAAATGCACTCACAAACACTAGTAATCACGCTACTAGGTAAATATCACACTGCATTGGAAGCAACAAATTAATTAATCTCATCTTCCCGGGAGGTTTATCCATTTTCAATAGGATTTCTAATCAAGGGCAAAGGGAAGTTAAGAACAAAAAAACATAGGCCTTTAGAATTTCGGACAGTTTATTAATTTTTTTACAACAAATACTATGGGTAAAAACATCATTGTAATAGGTAACATAATTGTTATTCGTAATGGCAAAAATATTGTTAAAATCACTATAAAAATTAAACTGATAATACCAATACCGTTCACATAAAAAAACAAATCTTGAGCATATTATTATTATAATTCATTAAGTATAAGTGTCTCTAAGTAAAGTTATTCTTAACTCGTAACATGTATTATGTAGATGTACGTGTTGTATAAAATAGTACATTTTATTTAACAAATAAAATGACAACAAAATAATGTCAATATAGTTTGTAGTATAGGTTTTCATCTGATTTTAAATGTTAGATCTTCTTATTTACTAATTCCTTTGCAACTAAATCGGAATGCTTGTCACAATAATATTACATTCGGTCACATTGTACTTTAAACAATATTATATTCTGTCTTATTTACTACGAAATCAGGAAAGTATATGTCACAATTTAGAATATGTCACCATTGTCCGGGAAGTCAAGATCGTTGTATGCAATAATAGGCCGGGACCGGTCCACATTTTCCCTGTAAATTATTTCTTTCAACTTATAAAAACATTCTGGCAAATGTAATGATTATTAAAAAGCGAGGAAATTACAAAACGGCACAACTAATGATATCAATAATAAAGCAATGCTTAGTGTTTTAGGCCCTCAGATCACAAAGTCAAAGCGTGTTGCAGGATAATAAATTCGTGGAATATTTATCATTGTCGACCATGATCTTAGTGCCCGAAATGGGGTAAATTGACGAAGCCTTCCTTCCGGGAAGCGACCGGAGAGTGTTGCAAATATTTAGGAGGGCTTTAGGAAGAAACAGTAGTTTGGGATTGTTTAAAATGTAGGCATTAAACGACAGAAACAAGGTTTCCTAATTTTGCATTTTGCTTTAACAAGAAATGAATTTATGATTTATACAGTCTGCAATACGGAGAAGGACTTCCAGGTCTTCAAAATTACGTTACCTACACAACTAGTGATGTGAACAACTTAAAAAAGGAATATGAGCGGATACGGTTACGAATTATTAGATGCCTAGATGCGCAAGAACGGATACGGATCTCAAATTTTTTTTCTCAGGTAAACTTTAAAACAACGGTTGATGTTGAGGTCTAAATAACACAACTTATTTCGACTGCCCTAGGTGACTTTTTTACTAAATATTATTATGCACATATGACCCGGATTGGGGGATAGCTCTCGTTATAAAAATTGACAAATAGTGCCTTATAACTATTATCTTAGGTACTCGCTACATTGAACATTTAAATATTTAATTTTAGCAAAATACATATAGAATTTACGGATACGGATATTCGGCACATCACTAGTTCATGTATTAAACGCATTAAAATTAAGCAATTATACGAAAAAATTAGAAGTTCAATTTGATTGGAAAATCAGATAAGAAATTTGTAAGAAAGATAGCTCGAGCTGGCCAGGGTCGCATACATACAGTCGTAATTCGAATTGGCTGTTGCCGCACGTGCTGTAGATAACGCATTAAAATATTGCTAAATACAGGCAACATGCGATGAATGTAGGCTAAAATATGAAAATAAGGTAATAATACTCAAGCGGACGCGTGTGTAGCCACTTATTACATGCGTATCTTGTCTAGCTATGATCTAATGTCCTATTGTCATTCTGTACTGTGAATAGTTACAGTGCATCTATGCCTTGAATTTAAATCTGCATTTGTAAATCTTGTTCAGTCGAACATTGCTGTTTGACGTAAGGAATTACAATTGATGGTTGACGACAAAAATTGACAACAGGTCAAGTTACATGGTTTATACACCAGAAGTATACTTTAAGGATTACTTAACTTACTTATACCTATTTAAGAAATAACCCACCACCATATTGGACTTCTATATATTATGTAGATAATAAAAAAGTAATTAGTAAGTTTCGACACTAAGTGTTTGAATAGTTTATGTGAGTGATTCATGCATGATGTAGAAGCGTTTTATAATTTTAACAGATCCCGCCCATGGTGATTGGACTGGACAGATTGCAACGACTGACGACGTAATAAATGATTTTAGATTTTTTTACTTAACCGTAATAAGACATTTTTTTATAATACAGTACGTCACGTGCCAAAACTTCCTTTCTAAGGAGAGGCCTATGTCCAGCAGTGGACTAGTATAGGCTGTTGATGATGATGATGACGTGTTAAATACAGTTTAAGCAATAAGCTATGAATGTATTAAAACCAACGCGCGATGGATCACTGATGGGATTTATTCGAAAAAACATCGTTTTTTTCAACAGAACGAATCTCACTAACACCAAGTTCGTATATAGGCTTTTTCATAAATCCGTAACTACGACGACGAAAAAAAGTGCGGTCGAAAAGAGTAAAAATCTTTGACGAATATCATGCTGAAATGTATGTATACGTGCAGTGTTAAGTATTAAAGAAGTAGTCACCTGGGGCGCGAGAAGCGAGGATGTCTGGGCGCGTAGGAGGCGGGGTGCGCCCAGCCGCCCCAGCCCCACGCGCGCGCCGCGCCCGGCCCGCCGCCCGCCGCCGCGCCGTACCTGCTGTCGAATATACTATTTTGAAATAAAACCAACTAAAATTCACACCACAATTTTAAAATCGTTTCTGTTTATCGTCTCCATCAATAAGAAACAGTAACGTCTTATACCACGAACACATGTAAAATTTTAGTTATCACTTCACGGTAGATGTACTAGATTTTGATCACTAAAATGATATACATAGGGTCCCACTTCAAGGAGTAAATAGTAAGGTCGTATTATATGGATCGCCTAATATACGCGACAGACGTATCGCTCTTACAAAATACTATCAATATAAATGTATCGTTAAGTGTTGCTAAGCACAAAACTCGAAAACGGCTCGACCAATTCTGCTATTTTTTTTCATGCGTTCGTTAAAGCACAAGGAGAGAAATAACGTCAAAATTGTAAGGAAAATTGTAAAGAAACCACTTTTTTCTCATTTTGTATGAGACAGAGTAAATCAATAGACCTGCCCCTAGCTGGCCAACATTTCAATCAATACAAACAAACGCATGTTAGGATATGACTTCAAGTTAATTAGGCTGTATAGATATTAGTCTATGCCTGCTCAAAACAAAGTTCGAAGAAATACGTTTTTTTTTTTTTAAATTATCGGACTGCAACAGGCCAATGACTTTTGTCAGAAGCAACGCTCTGCGGCTACCGGTTTTAAATGATTTTCATCGCTTCATTCCGATATTAATCTCGGCCATTTAAACAAGGGCAAAGAATTAGCAGAGGCCACGGTCTCGCAGCGAGCAGGTGGGGAGTACTGACGGTGCGGGCGCGGGCGCGTGGTGCGGCGCGGACGGCGCGCGCGCGCTGGGCTCGGGCTGCGCGGGGCGCCGCACGTCGCGCACGTACGCGTTGAAGTACGCCACCTCGCGCCGTACCTCGTCTACCTGAAAAACGGACCCCACTCTTAACTCTCTCTCTATAGTCTTTTGTAATCGGTGGATTAAACGGATCTCGGTGGACGTTGATTTCTAGCAAAGTAGAAACATAAAAATTGAGAAGTATGCACGATTTAATTACATTGGAAAGTTATAATTATGAAAAAAGCAGGTTTACTTCTAGTGCATCTTAAACACGACGTCATTAAAAGTTTTAGTAATTGAAAATATTTACCTTTTCTGCGTGCTTGTTGAATATATGTTTTCTAATAAAATCAGGTCCCTTAAACTTTTTGCCGCTGAGAGGGCACAACCACTTGTCTTTCGCTAGTTCCTGTGTATTAGCCAAGACGAATTTCTCCACTTCAGCATCGGTGTCCTAAAATCGAAGAATTCGATTCGATTATATGACATAAGACGACAATTTATAGTTAAAGTTCACTTTTGTTATCCAAAGATTGTGATCAAAAGTTATGGCTGTCAAGTGTAAAAAGAATATATGTGATTGTTATACAAATAAAACTTATTGTTAATGTTGTTTAGCAGGTATTGAATTCTAAAAACCAAAATAAGAGAAATAAAACCCTTACTAAACGGAAACCAAGTCAATAATGTACTAATGAATTATGTGTAAACATAATGACATACCTCATTATGATGATTGAAATGATTGTCAAAAAATAATAGTGAAATGCTATCAAGTTAGATCAATTTATTCATTAACATTAATTAATTTTTTAAACAATTTGCAAGGACACTAATATCATATTCACTTAAACTTACCTTAATTCCAAGTTTGTGCAGCTCTTCGTCAGAAAGTGGTTTAACATCTTGCAAAAATGCAGACATTTTACCTTCAAAAGATTTTACATAATCTTGTATTTCTTGCTGGGTTGGCTGTTGAAAGAATATCAATATTATCAAAATATACCATGGAGATTGTGTAAACGGAATGATATAATTAATTATATAGAAATCACAATATTTATAAAACTACTGTGAACAGAACCAACATTGCTAGTTACTACTTATAAGGTTGGTTCTGGTCTGTTGTGCAACAGCCTCATGCCGCCCTGAGTGTGGCCGCGGGTGGACGGGGTGGGTTTCCCCTCCACCCGCATTAGTTTGGCCAGCCGCGAGGGGGCGGCGTCCGCGTGTGCCGGACGTCGCCTAAAGAGAGGAAAAATATTGAGACGGAGCCCGCACCAGGAGCGGGCTGGCGCTAGGAGGGGTCCGGATGTCTTAACAACAGCTGTTCCCGGATCCCTCCTGTTACAGGCGCAGAGTGGCACACCGTGTGGTTTTAGTCGGTCCGAGTCCGACACACCACCCCGCCGCAAACCCCGGAGGGGTGACGGTCCGAGGGGGATTTCCACACGATAAAAAAAAAAATAAAAAAAAATGGTCTATTGTGCAAAGCAAAGCATTCGTTTTGCTTTTCACAATACAGGCATTTATTTAGTTATTAACTGAAAAGAGCTTCAGCTTTTCAAGCTACGTACATAATTCGTGTTTTGACTGGTTGGATGCCAAAATTAAATTTTTGAAGTAATTTATTTTAGTTTAAACACACCATTATTAATTTAATAGAAAATAAAAAGTAAAAGATTTAATCATCATTGATTTGGGGATAAATTGATGCATAGCTAAATTTTTTTATACATGTGACTTTTTTACAACGATCAACAACTCTATTTACAGACTGCTCTGACTACTCTCTGGTGGAATATGATGATGAAAGTGATAAAAACAAACATGAACTATAAAGTATTCTCGTACATACCTTATTCGCTGGTGGCCCTGATCGGGCATGCATAATACCACAACGGTTAGGCATCTCATCTTCATAGGGATACTCGCAATGGTTATAATAATCAACAGAGTGAACTATGCGTAAGTAGAGCACCAAGCGGTCTAGAACCCGCATTAATTCTGGATCCACTTGTTCTGTAGATGAAGATTCTGATGATGCCTCAAGACCAAGCAATTCTTCTTCCTCAGTCGACGCTTCTTCAATTAGATGCTCAGTGATTTTGTGTAAGACTGGATTTTTTGAATTCAGACTAAAGCTCTGAAACAGAAAACACTTTATAAAACTGTCACTACTATACTATATACTACACTATATTTTAAAATTTCATACAAACCTCAGCGTTTCCTTGATCATTTTCATTTGTTTGATCGTCGGTCCCGTCATTCCAGAGTTTAGTACGAGTGTCGAGCAGATGAGCGAGACGAGCCGCTAACCGGGCGTCAGAACGCAGGACAGCTCGTTCCAGGGTAATACCCGAAACTGCACGAATACGACGTTGAAGATCACGGTTGACTATTGCGCCCAATTCGCACTCGCGAAGCTTAAATTAAAATATACAAATGTTTTGTAAATTAAAGGAAACCCGTCATTTATTTCGGAAGTCATAGAGGCCTGAAATTTAACAGAGGTATTTTACAGGTTGGGCATTTTAATTTAGAACTGATTTTGTAACAGGGCAGCATCAAGGACTTTAAACTTGCAAGGTCTCAAGGCCTTCGCAAGTTTGAAAGTCCTTGGTTGTTCTAAATACTAGACTTGAGAATTGGCAACCGTGCACTTTATAGGTAGAAGTCAGCTATAAAAGGATTCTTAGTTAGTAAGACCTATGTTACCTTAGACCTACTCATTTTGTTTTTTGTTGCTGTATTTAGTTTTTTTTTTGTTTCAGTATCAAATAGTTACCTACGTTACCATATCTAATTGTGGACTAATTCATAAAACAACCAACTTAAAACTCCTTAAGTTCGTAGTCAATTTACGAAAGACTATTAGAGTTATAAAATGCAAGCCTTTGAAAATGAATTTAGTTGGGAAGACTTACTCTAATGTTGTTAAGATTCCAGCATATATCTTTAATGTTGACATCTCGACGGAATGTGACCCAGCCACGACGGAACCAGCGGCGCTCTGGCAAAGGGTCGGCGAGAGCAACACGTAAGAAACCTCCGTAGCGTTTGCACATCTGAAAAAGAATACTAATCTATTATTCATCCAAGAACCCAATTGCTTTGTAATTGCAAACTCTATGGTCAACAGGAGTCTGATACTAAAGGAAAACTGTTTCTCTAGTATTCCTTTAACCTTGATAACATAATATACTCACAGCTTCAACCTCAGCTTTGGTGATAGTGGGTGCTAAATTTCTTAGGAATATAGAAGTTGTTTTGTGCAAAGCTCGACATTCTTTTTTCTCAATAACAACATCGCTGACTGACTCAGCTTTTTCATCTCCACTTTTATCCCCGCCTTTCTCTTTATCATTCTCAGTAATGTCCACTACATTTTCTACTATTGGGGACTTAGACTTTTCCTTTTGTTTTGGTGATTTATCGGGCGTCTTAGATTTGGACTTTGATTTACGCCGAGTGGTGGTCTCTCCTTCTTCATCTGAACTAGACGATGATGAACTGGATGATGAAGAACTCGACGACGAACCTGGAGGCGCTGTTAATAAAATAGTTATTTTAGAAAAATAAAAAACCCATATAATAAATAATGATGATGTACACTCGACTTGATATGAGAGCCTACATAAATATACTTACGAGGTTCTTTCTCTACTGGCTCAGGTTCTGGTTCAGTTCCGTTAGAGTTAAAACGGGAAAATAATTTCGCCTGTTCTTGAAGTTGACGTAAATGAGGGTCTATCTCAATCTCAAGAGGGGCTGTAGGCTTTGGAGACTCCGCCTTCTTCTCCTGTTTTCACAATGTAGGTAATAAATAATACATACATTGGTATATTATAGATAATTTTTAAAATGAAAAATTTATTTTGTATTGTCTTGGTATATTTAAAAATATCCAATTACAAATCCTTTTCTGCGGAAAACTTTAGTAACAGAAGTTAACTTACCTTTTTCTCACTTTCATCTTTCTCTTCTTTAACCTTGACCGCATCAACATCTATGACAACTGGTTGATCAACATTATTTTTATCTGAAATTTACAAACTTGACATGTCTTATTTGTATACCAACAAGCAAAAACATAAGATACTGTTAAATATTAACCTGATTTGTCATTAGAAACAATTTCTGGAGGAGGAGGTTCATCAAGCTCTTTCAAATCTTCTTCTGTACCACCTTCGAGTTTAATGACAACAGTATCAAGAAGTCTTATCAGTTTATCAGACTTATCTACATCTACAGATACTTTATCCAGTTCCCCATTCTCCAACAGTTCCAGGAAGACATTGAGTCGATTCTGTAAAATATAATAAAATCATTTTAGATGCACTGGTAACCAAATAAAATATTATAATATTTTTAATTCTTTGTTGTGTGTATACCTTTAATGCAGCTAGTTGTTCTTCTTTTCGTTTAACTGATTCTTCAGGATGGTATTTAATCTTGAACCTACGTAACAAAATGTTTACATTAACTTGGATCAATATTTTATTTATGTAAAAAGTCCATAAAATGATAAACAATAAAAATAAGTGAATACTCCGATTTTAATACAAAACAGAATAATTCAATGTCCAATTAAGCATTAACAACAAATTTGAAACAACAGCAAAGGCTACTTGCTCATTTGGATATGGTTTTGACTTTTGAAGTATAATAAAATCTTCTATTATAGTTGAATATATTTTCTAGTTTTGTATGAATATCGGTAACTAACTAGATAAGTAAATAAATAAACCACCTTTTGTAACTCATCCATACAGGTTGTACTTCATATCACAGAAAACTAAAATTGCTTAGTATACATATATTTAAAAAATCTTCATAATCTTACCTGTTCCACACGTGTGGAATATTATAGCCCTACTCCTAACAGTAACGAAACCTGTAGCATTGCGCGCTACTGGTCAACGCGAGATAAACTAGCTACACACGGCATTTAATCATTTGCATAAAGTTTGATTAAATTTTCTTAATGATGTCCAGCAATCCACACGAATACACTGTAGACTGTAGGGAAAAAAGGTAACTGTTAAGATTTGCATAGCATCTTTGAAAAATCCTAAGCATAGCTTAACTTATTATGCATTGAGTAATATATATGTATGAGTAATATAGTAATATGCTTAGAATTTCTCAATTACCAGCAAATTATATGAAGGGAAATGGATTGATTATTTATGTAGTAACTATAATGTTACTGTATAACTTTAGTAAAACTGTTAAAACATGAAACCCCAAATTAAGTTACACATATTACGAAAACCAATGTAAATATGATTTTTTGCCCAATTTATAGATATTTGGGAAGCTTTGTCTAGACAGTATAGTTTGAGTATCTAAGCTGGTAAGTCTGGTAAGTTTATATGTTACGTACCATTCTTCATCTTTATGAGCAACGAAAAACTCATTCAGTTGTTGTCTTCTGAATTCAAGCTTATATTCATTATATTTTTGTATGGCATCATCTACAGTTATTGAGTCATCTTGAGCAGCCAGAAATGCCTTGAACGACATCATTGTGGGTGGTCCATCAGTTGCTCCCATGGGTAACACAGTATCCCTGTTATGAAAATTATGTCATTTGATCATTTCAGCTTAAGTTAACAAGAAATTAAGAATAATATTACTTTAAGATTAATAAACAAATGCTGTTCATGGGTACACATCACTTGAGTATGGCTGAACTGTTTTGTTGCTCAAGTCAAAACAGGGTTTAAAGGAAAAAATTACAAGTCTGTGGGTAACTTATCATTATTTTCCTTAAAAACCGGTTCTAACTTTAATGGTTAAAATTTAGCAAAAACTTGTCTTTTTTAAAGAAATTAAACCAAAATAAAAATTTAACAGGACAAGTCAGAAAAGACTTAATTAAAATAATTGTTTGTAGTAGACTATTTTTATTTTAAAGCAATAGGGAATATGCACGTGACACCAAAATGGACAAAATAGTTTTATTTGTAATTTTTATTGCTAAAAAAAGATACCCATACAATTATTTTTGAAATTTATTATAATTTAATAGTGAAATTTAATCATCAAAAATTGGCTTTTTTAAGATTCCCTTGCAAATTTCTAAAATGCAACGCTATTGGTTGAATAAAACGTGACGTCAACCTACACTGTCAAGAGTGTCAACAAGTTGTATGTATTTGTAATATTTGGTTTCTGGTGATTATTTGTTTCATTTTAAGTTAATAACTAATACGTTTTCAGTGTTAAATTATTAAATTCCCGTGAAGAAAGACTCAACACAATGACTGAATATACTTTGTCAGGTGCAGTTTTGATATTATTTGGGCACAAAGGAACGGCACAATATTTATAATATGTTTTTATTGGCTTTCCATGGTAATAAGTTAATTTTTATCACTTACTTTTTTTACTTTCAAAAACTTTGTGAACTTCACTCCGTTATTGACATCGAATTCGTCTGAAAGTGTAATCTGACGTCACAAAAAAAGCGCGCCAAAATGGACGTGTTCAAATTGCCCCAAAATGATAGTGATTTTGATAAAAAATTTTTTGCTTAACGGTTTATATTTCGGATGTGTTATATTTATTTTTGGTAATGTAATAACTAGTAGAATCGTTAAAAAAAATAAAATAAATACATGCATATTCCCTCTTAAATATTTTTTTATGTTGAAAATGTTATAAGCTATGAACTACATATTTATGTAGTTCAACAGCAACTTCCTATAAAAATATAGGTACTGTAAATATTTATGCATAACCATTTTTAAGATTTACATATTCATGTTTAAAAGAGCATCATGGCCTCCAAAATGCAAAATATTAGCCACACAATGCACCTTTAATCCATTCACTTGAAGAAAATAGTGACGTATCAATCAAGCCCTGCTGCCTCCAATCAAGTTCCAAGAAGTTATTGTTTCATAGGAAATCTTGGAACCTGAAGCCATGCGTTACGTTATCAATGCAACACCATATCTTTAACATGAATGGACTATAGTTAAAATTATATAAAGGTTCTTAAGGATATTATTTAAAGTTATATTTTTCCAGGGGGCTTTAGCATAAGCATTTAGGCAATTTAGTTTAGAAATTTCAATAAAACAAAACAGAATTTATTTTTAAGTTAAGACTAATTAACAAACCTTGCTGGTACTGGAGGCATAGGTTGCCCATAGCCTTGGTGTGCAGGATGTGGGCCAAAATGATCATGGGGCCAACCATAACCATATGAATCATGGGGCATTCCTCCATACCTTCTGTCATCTATTGGCCAGTCTGGTCGTATACGCTTACTAGGTGGGCCTTCACCACGAACTGGAGAATACCCACGGCTGGCACTTGCTCCACCACGGTAGTCCCTGTAGTCAGGACCGGAACGACCTCCACGAGATCTTCCAGCCCAAGAATCTCTGGTATTATTCAAAATTTGTTACTTTAATCTAAGCTAGTTTAAAATGCAGTCTAAAGAAAAGTCTAGTTTTTTCATATTATATGCTACAATATTTAAGTACTGCATTCCTACTAAGTATTTTTGTAAAAATTCACACATGATGTATACATACAACATTTTTGATGAGTATTGTATTTACATCTACATCACTACATTCTATATATACATATTTACTTAAATTAAAGCTTTGTTGCTCCATATTGTGTTATACATTAAAAATGGTTACAGTACAAATAGATATACATTTACTTTTAGAACATCTAACACAATCTAGAAATATTGCACACAGTAATTCTAACAAAATTGTAGATGTACACCCTAGGAACAGAGTGGAAGTGAAATAATCCCTTGGAACTTAAACCATAATTTATTGGCACCAAAATAACAATGATAATTCCAAAGATGGTCTTTAAGTTCATTGATGAGGGTTTTGTTGCAATAAAGGCAGATCATGCCTTGTTTCTCCAAAAATTCACTGTGGTGAGTGTACATATGGCATTTTGCAGATAAATCCAATTTAAACTATGATAATATAAGTCACCCTGTATTTTCATAGTTCAAATTAGATTCAACTGAACTGAAAATTGAAGAACCTATAGGGTACCTATAGCTGCCAACATTATTAATGACTGGGCTCATAAAAAGTAATTATTTTAATATTATTGACAGTTATAGACTTATAACAGTCAACATTAATAAAGACCGGGGTCATAAGAAGTCAGTCTATAACTGTCGACATTATTAAAGACTGGGCTCATAGGAAGTCAGTCTGTAACTGTCAACATTAAGACTGGGGTCATAACTGTTTAAAATACAATAATAGTACAATTACAATGATCATAAGCTGCAGGACTGTTGACCTACATCTACAACATTTACCTCACGACAAAAGCTATGGACCTTTTCGTTGGTTTTAGACCTTGAGTAGGAACTTTAGAAGATTCAAAGGATTGAGGTTGGGATCTGAAATTAAAATAGAGGAACGGAGAACCAAAGAGAAACATTTACATTACTTTTTTACGAGATTTTGAAAAAATAATTTTGAAGTAATAATACCTCTCAGACCACTCTTCGCGACCACGACTTCTTTCGTCTCGTCGGTCACTACCGCGATAACTACTTCCCTCTGCGGTGCCTCGTTCACCTCTGAACTTATCACGGCGCTTACGATCGTATTCATCATCACTATCAGCCATAGTCACAATTTAAAATTTATACAAGGACCGTATATATTAGGAATTTTTACCTAACATCAAGCAAGCAGGCGCACGCTATCAAATAGAAAGCAAAACGAAAGATTCAGGAATCAGGAGAACCATAGAGAAAAAAAGATGATGTAGATTGTTTGACGTGACTGCTCCATAGAGACTGCCACTTAGATAAATGTACTGTAGATGTAGCAAAACTGCAATTCCAAAATTTTTGATGCTAATCTTATGTAATGTTAATAGCAATTCCTAATTTCCTAAATATAAAACGTCATCAAAAAATTCATAGACATAATGGAATAGGAAAAGTTATTATTTCATTTTTACAATTTGAATAAAATTGGAACAGTTTCAAATTGCAACCTATGTAAATAATAGGGGTTAAAGTATGAAATTGCCGCTGTATGGTAATAGAATTGACATAGAACCTTCATGGTGTGAGATTTTCGTGTAAAACGTTTTACACATAATATCTATGAGTTCTTCTTTTAAAAAATCTGCAATATTCGATGACAGATGAATATTCAATATCAACGCTGTATTTGGAGAGGAGACTGCTAATGAGCGCACCGTGCGTTTTTTGTTTAAACGAGCCACGTGGAAGACCGCCCACATAGGTTAATAACGCTGAATTGAAGGAGATGGTGGAAGCCGATCCGAGTCAAACTACCCAAGAATTAGCGGTATGGTTTTACGTTACCCTACCTACAATACTGACTCATTTGCATCAAATCAATGAGAAAAAAAAAGTAGAAAAATGAGTGCTTCATGATTTTACTGATCTGCTAAAAGAAATGCATGTTGAAACTTATGTTGTCTTGTTGAATCGGCACAGAAATGAAGGAATATTGGATCGAATTATGACATGTGCCGAAAATTTGTTTTTTTACGATAACCGTGAGCGAAAAATGCAATGGCTGGCCCCAGGTCACATGCCGCAACAGTGCCCTAAAACAAAGCTTGCCAATAAAGAGATAATGGTAACTGTTTAGTGGTCTCCCCATGGTGTTATTCATTATGGCTTTCTCAGGTCAGGTTAGGCAATAACAGCAGATGTTAAGTGTGCCGAACTTCGAACAATGATAGTGAAAGTGGCAGTGAAACAGCCCCGACTCTTGAATCGATCCTCACTATTATTGCTCCATGATAACACAAGACCTCTCACGGCACGAGAAACCGTTGTAACTCTACAGGAGCTACAGTTAGAAACCATACGTCATCCTCCGTACCCGCCAGACCTTGCTCCAACGGACTACCATTTTTTTCGTGATTTGGACTATTTTCTACGTGATAAAGGAGGCAATACAAAGTGATTTAACACAGTGCGGCGAATCTAGATCCCCAAAGTTCTATCGTAAAGGTATAAATGAACTTCCGTTTAGATGGCAGCAATGTATAGATAATGAGGGTAAATATTTTGAATAAATAAATATGTTACATCTTTATTCTTTGATTATACTTATCTGAATTAGCAACTGTAAAAAATAATAATAAGTAAGTTAAAAGTCTTTTATATCATACTAGCAATAAAAATACTATTTGCCTGTGAGCCTAAGAACCAATCTATTTCTGTTCCATTCAATGAAATGGCTTCATCAGCATCGGTGTTTTTGACTTAGCATTTAATCATGGAAGATTTATTCTTTACAAACTTATTTTAGTGAGAATGACCGAAAAATTGTTAGTTGTCCAAAAAAATTTGCACTTTTACATTCAATAAGATATTAGTTTAATACATTTATTTATTCAATATATTTTTCTATTATATAAAATAGAAACTGAATGTTATAATGCACTATATATGTTTACACATCTAGAATATGATTACTTAGATAAAATATACGGCTTTTTATACGGATACTTGCGTGGATCATGACATTCTTTCCATCATCACTGTAGATATCAGAAGGCTAATTCTCGTGATAAAAGTTTGGTCTCAATTTAGTTCCGATAAACATTCGATCTCACAACTTACGAGAATCGGCCTTCAGATAACATTCGCATTGCCTTGCATAATAATTTCTCCCAAGTTGCAACTTCTGCAAAAGATTCATTACAACCGACGTTCTCTGGTAAGAAGCTACATACCTTTATATTGGCTGTACTTGTATTATTTTATGTTGAACAGTTTCTAGATTTTAAAATCAAACGCTTTTTAATATTAAAAAAACTGATTTTATTAAATACATTTTGGATCTGGCGATACGGTACTTAAAACTAATCATGTCTGAAGATCTGAATTTTCCTTAGTGTTGTCTATTATTTGTTATAAACAATGTAACTCATCAGACGCATCACCACAGTTGTCACGTCCGTCACAGTGAACCGTACGCGGAACACATCTTTGATTCCTGCATTGTATCTCGTGTGTACCGCAATTGCCGCCACATCCGTCTGGTTCATCACTGCCGTCCATACAATCTGCTAAGCCGTCACAAAATCTCGAAGCTGCAATGCATTGCCCACTGTTGCACGTAAATTGGTCATCTGGACATTCTAAAGATACAAAGAATAATTTAATTCCTAATTTCTCATGGCAAGCTGCTGAACTATAAACAGCTGTGTGTGAACAAGCTTCGTTTGAAGTCTTTAGGTAGGTATTTAGTTTTGGAAGTAAGTCTATCAATTTATCTCTAGAGAATCTACACTATGGATGAGGAGTTTAGCTGAAACAACAATTATGTGATTTCTAAAAGAGGCTACCGAGATCCTGAACCAAGTGATATCAATCTCTTACAGTTCTTGGTTATCTTTACATTCATATTCCGCATAACGAACGTACAAAGAAACGTATTTTACGTTATTACACCGTAGTTTTATGTTGAATTATGATATCTAGACAACTTTGTTGACAATGTAGAAAAATGTACTCACCAACGGTGCAATTAACTTCATCGTAACCGTCCCAACAATCAATAACACCGTCGCATAATTTTGTTTGCGAAAAACAAGATATGAAATGACCGCATCTAAATTGTTTCGTTAAATCGCAATCTGAAAGTGCAAACATGATATAAATGCTTATAAAAGCGTTGAACAGAAGAGTATATGTTATATTAATTTATGTATCTACCTAAGGCACCTTACCACAATACATTTCATCAGAACGATCATAACATTGAATAGAACCGTCGCACCGAGCTTCAGCTGATACGCATAGGCCATTACGGCAACGCCATTCCTTAGGTGAGCATGTTACAAGTGTCAGTAGGCGACACACACGAACACCTCGAGCTTTATCCACCAATTGACAAGCTTCTGTCTCAAGTGCACACAAACCACCGCAACCTAATGTAAAAAAAAAATGTTTTGATTTAGGAACTAAAGTAAGTTTTTCACAGAAGTGAACGTGCCGTAATTATACAAACAAAATTTTACAGACTTCAACCATATCAGTTTTATACGAAAGAAAAAAGATTTGAATTAGACTGACATTAATAATGATAATAGCAATGTATTAATATTATTATTTTTTTCGTTTCGTACATGTCATTTGAGCTTGTGTCAATAACCTCTTGACCTGCTATTGCACTTCAGTAGTAATGTTGTAAGGTCATTTGAACTTATTTTGATATTCCTTGTTCGTAAACTCATGTTCGAAAGTACAAAGAAAATAAATAGGCAACTTCAGTCTAAACTTCTAATACAGTAGTTTCACTTTCTAATTAAAGAAACGGAATGTCAAATTAAGTAAATTCACTTAACTACTTACTAAAATATAGAATTACTAATAATAATATCTGATTACTTAAAAAAACATCAAAACCATCGATCAACAATACAACAACAAAATAAAATGGTTGATAGTAATGTTGATCGTAGCCACGGATATTTTCTTTAGGTAGGTACTGTGGTGAGCGGGACCGGGAAAGGTTTAGGACTCTCCCGGCCCGCCAGGCCCGGGAACGGGAACGGGCCAGGTACCGCAGGCGACTCAGGCGCCGGAGGTCGCAGAACGACCTCCGTCCTCCATAAGCGCAGGCCTGGGGGTGACAGGTGGGGCCATCTGTCACCCTAGCAGAAGCAGGCCGGGGTGGCGGCGAGCGCGTTGCGAAGCGCGCTCGCTTCCAGGGAGCAGAGGGAACATGGGGTTCCCACACGGGGGGGGGGTCGTCTACTCGTCTGTAGATGGCCCGAGGTATGTCGGGGCACCAGGGACTTCCTTTCTAGGGTATACCTGGTTTCCCGGCTATTAGTACCCGAGACGGCGTGCGGTTTTAGTCGGTTCGAGTCCGACATGCCACCGACAGGTGGTATCCGAGGGGATTTCCGCACGAAAAAAAAGGTAGGTACCTACTGTGGTGGCCGTAACGGTCGGATCCGTAAAGACTTGCAAAGACCGCATGAACTTTAATACAGATTAGTGAGGTCATATTACTGCTGTCATCTTCTACTTAACGTGATGATTTATAAAATATTTATATTACATTATTAAAACCTTTTCCAATATTTGTTTTTATAAGCTTTGCTATAATGATCTTAACTATATAAAATTCATTGTATTATAAATTTTTATATAAATATGTTATGTTATGTTAGGAACATAAATATTTAAAGGTGTAACCGACTTATTGTAAAAATATGTTAGTAATATTGATTGTACCTACTAGAGTAGGCTTCCAACAAGTTGATTCAGTAACAAAATACAGTCTAAGCACGCAACAGAATAAATAGACATAACGAAGGGTAAATGAATTGTCTTTTTCTTTCCGTTACGAGTAGGTTACCATCTGTATATACTACGCTATTACTTTAGACTAATATAAATCGTTATTGTTTTAGTTAAAATAATTCATTGCAGAAAAAAAATGATCTCATATAACTTACTAAAAGCCAAAATTATGTAAATAGCAGTCATATTGTCTCTGATAATAAGTACATACAATAAGTACATAAACAAATATTAAATGCACAGTGTAAATATTATGATGTTTTGTTTTAAAGTTTTAATTTCAATACAGATGCTCATAAAATCGCTTTTACGTACCTGTGGGATCTTCTTCGTCTATTGGCTTTCTACATACTGATGTTCCACTGTTCTCATCTAACATGCATATTTCGTTTCTTTGGCACGAGCAAAAGCGTTGAGATACGTCTCTGTTATTAATATCTTTAGGCACTCCGGTAAGTTCTTCTTTCGAATTCTTTGGATAAGTTCTAATATTTTTACGGATTTTTGATAATACACTTGTCTGCGTGATATTGTTTGTAATTGCATTGCTTGTAGATACTGTAGTAGTAAAATAACTTTCTGCAACTTTTGTCTGTGCTTCTGACAGTAACTCTGAATAAACGTTAGTATTGGCTGACACCGTTTTATTGAAATTTACTTTAGTTGGCACTACGCTTGTACTAGTTATATTGGCCACAGCTTTAAAATTTGGATGAGTAAAATTTACTAAAATAAAACTTATTATTACGATTGCTACAATCATTATACTTATTGAGCAGGCCTGTATTTGAGTTCTTTTTTTTAAAGGGTTGTCTGTCATAGTAAAATTCACTATACATCCAAAACCCTTCAGGGTTTTTCTCAGTCTCTGTCGCCTAACACATCTAGGTTCCATTTCATAAGAAATGTATTTTTGTCTAAAACTAGAATCGATCTGTTGTGATATGGAAGGAATGCGTTGTTTACTCTCCACGATCGTGGATGCCGGGTCTTTTGAAATACTATTGTCCAAAGAACGAAATTCTTCTGTTTTCTTATTTTCAAGAGAGTTTTCTTGTCCATTTATAGGGAGGTCCTCTTTCAATATTGTTATTTCTTTATTAGGAGTAGAATGAGTTTGTGGCATAAAACTTTTTGGTGACTTGACTTCATATTTTCTTATTTTACCTTTACATGTATAACAATATGTTATGTTTCTGTCTTCATATGGTGCTGCTATTATAGCGTTTCGAATATGACTATTTGCCCAAAGATGAGAACAATATAAAGAGTTTAAATTGATGGAATTATCAACCGTATCCGTCTTAGATAAGGGGTCATTGAAACTGCCCGACAATGTCATTATTTCTTAAGCTTTTGTTTGATATAATATACATAATAACATAGACACAAAGATCTATGATCCTGAAACAAACAAAATAAGTGTTATAAACATGAAAGAACAGACCTTAAGAAATAAAAGTGTCCAGTAACCATCAAGGACATCCACTGAATTACAATGATGTCCAATCAAAAGCAAAAGTTTCATCAAAAGTATTTAAGGGTAGTTCTATAAAGCGTTCTGGGATTTATTGAAGACTTATCTCGCGCGTATTATATACCATCAACTGGCTCTCGACGACGACCGCGTTCGGCGTTGCCATTGTTGAAGATTTCAGAGGATTGAATCACGGTACTATTATAATACAGTACTCCAACTTCATACAAACGGACGAAACGCGAGCTATACCTACGCGCCTCAATCTCGGGGTGCGCTCGGGGCGCAGACAGTCACGGCTGTACCGCAGTGTCGAACGGACTGTGTGTTGTTTTTTTAACAATAACCGCGCGATTTTTTCTCTAAAAATCAGTTAATATGACGAGTAGGAAATATTGTGCTGTTTTTGGTTGTATGAATTCGTCAATAACGCATCCAGACATAAGTTTTTTTAAATTACCTGGAAACTCTGAAAGATAAGACTATAAAATAATTTTACTTACTAGTAAGTAGTTACATAATGTGTGTCTTTTTAATGGATAAGTATTTCCTTTTATCTCACGAAAAAAAAACGTGTTTGGATGAAATAAATAAAGCAAATAGAGTAACGGAAAGTTATTGAGACGAGTGAAATAGGTAGTTATATGCGGTTCTGAATGAATCACGATACGGTGGGTACCTACCTACTTACGCTTGTGTTAAAACTTCGGTGCATGTGTGTTTTGTTACTTTGCATAATTCAAAGTAAAGACGTGGTATTTTATTATTAATAATATTTGTTTATTTTCTGTGTGTATGAATAATACTAAAAAATAATTTTTACCGTCTGTGTGTCATTAGACAGTTTTCGAAATTTTCACAAAGTGTTTCTGCTGCTACTATAACAACATATACCACTAAAAACTGGTTTTATTTTCTCGGTATTAACAACAACAGCTAGACTCATATATAATATTTAGATGTTTGAGGGTTGTGATTTTAAAACATTCGTAGTCAGCTGTTCAGCTTTTTAATAATTAATTAATTGGTGACCAAAGAATTTTTGTTTTGAGTTGTTGCGGGTTGTAGGTAGGTACCTAATTTATAGAGACGTTAATAAGCTGAGATAAAAAGTTACTTACTCGTCAGCTGTTTCTTGCATTCTAGTTGAGTAGGTAGGTGTTGGAGTTTGGTCTAAGGATTGGAGTTTTGTAACGCGTAAGGAGAAAGCACATTTATTTTATTTTATAGAAGGATTTTTTTCGGTCGCAAATTTATAAGCCCGATTTGTTTTTCAAACAAAAACATGTTTTTTTAATTAAATCTACCAATCAAAAAACAACACGCATTTTTATTGAACACTTCCTATTCAATATACAAAGTACTTTATTTATTTATATAAAAAGGATATTTACAATCACAAATCTAAATAGAAACAGAAAGTAGGCAAATATAATTAAAATGCTGGAGACGGGCAGCCCTAACGCATGTTTACGTACCGCGCGGCTGTAGGCATTTATTTCTATCATGCGGCCGAGTTACACTACTGTATTATAATATTACCGTGATTGAGTGCAAGTTTATTTCACATCGACTCGCTCTCAACGGCGAGCCCGTTTGGCGTTGCGATTAGTGGAGGTTTTAGTGCGGTCTCCGTGACGATCGAGTAGAAGTGAAATAAACTTGCACTAGGCCCTCAGTACCGGCCAAGTACGGTGACTATCGAGTAGGTGTGAAATAAAGTTTCACTAGGCCCTCAGAGAGACTAGTGTAAAAAATGAAATTTAATGTTTATAGCTAAAATATCATATTATTTTGAACTCAATTTATTCACTTTGTACCTCCAAGTTCTAAGAACAGTAATTATAAACAAAAATAAACTTAAAACTAACAAACAACTTGTACTTTTTTATAAATATGAAAGTATGTTTATCAGCAGTCTGGTTACCATTGTACAGACTCTGCCTAGTTTGGGATCAGACGGCCGCGTGTGAAATGTGTGAAAATATTATTAATTTTAATTATTAATATTATATTACTGTGGAAACTTAAATTCACAAAATGCCAAGTACACGAAAATACACTTAAAACTTCCAATAGTAAGGGTCCTTGGTATGACTAAGTTCAATATTTCTCACGTAGTAGAAACTTAATTAAATTCAGAAAGAAGACTTATAGTAAGCAAAAGGGGAAGGCGCACATTGGCTTATAATTACATTTTAGTAATTTAATTCCAGCCACTGAAGTGTGTAAACGATATCATTTACAGTGCCGAGTATAATTTATGTAATGGTCTAACGTATTGTAAATAAACTTGTCTAATGATATTATTATGACTATTTAGTTCATGTTTTACTTACTGTTAATGACTGTTGTACATTATTAGATCGTATGTCCAAGAGAGTTCGGAATAATGACTATTCTATGACAAGATCTGCAATTAAATACAACAAAATGAGTTACAAATCTCGACACCATTTACTAAAAATATCAAAAAAGGTACAAAATCTTATTTACTACAATTATATTTCAAATATCTACACGTTAAACAGTCGGGACAGAACACTCAAGGGATTAATATTTGCAGAAGTCAACAATAATATTGTCTTTAAAATTGAAATATTTACCGCAAGACGAGAGAGAGAAAGAGAGATAAGTACATATTTGCACATTGCAAAGGTCTAAATACAATGCTTACAATAAGGATTAAAAATATACGATGATAGGTAAGATTAATTCCATCTTTTTTTTTCAACGCGGTAAATGCTTTTCGCACCATACCGTGTTTCCACATACACATTGAAACGAGTTAAACATGTCTCCATCGTTTCCGTACATGAAACCTCTTTTTTATATTTATTCGAACTATAAAGTTTTATTCGTATGAATGGACAGCTTAGTAATTACTTAGTAAGATTTTAGATGACTATCATTGAACCGTACACATCTACATATGTGGAAAGACGATGTTTTCAAATGCGATATTGCATAAGGATTCGCACATAAGTACATTAAAATATTAGCCAATTGGTGGTCCACAGTAAGCCAAAGACACTATTGTTCAGCTGCAGTCAATTTTTACCTATTTGTATTACTTGATCGATATTGGTTTAAGGCTGCAGAAATTTAGATTTACGCTAATTTTCTGAATAGATAGACATTGTTTTCCAAATCCGCATTTTTTATCGTGTAAGGAGCAAACGAGATGGGTCACCTGACGGTGACTACTGCATGGACACATGCATTTCAAGAGACCTTTTTTTATAGGACTAATCCCTCCCACTCGCCCACCACTGTAACTTCTGTACAGCAGGATCAACAGCAGTGACCTACGAATACACCGAGTTATGAACTCGGAAAGTCCCAGGTAAAAATTAAATTGTCTTGGAACCCGAACTCAAGACACCTAAGTTTGTTACTGCTCTTTGAGTGGTCATGGATGGGAAGGGGGGAGTTAAGCTCCGTGGTATCACTCCGATCGAGCCGTCCGGTACGAGTATGTGCCGAAGCATGACTCTGAGACGAGCAACAAGTCGAATCTGTGTAAATTCATTTTCATCTGACCAGGGTAGGCATGCAATGAAATTCTAGGTATACATTTTATTAAGTTAACAACAAAATAGTAAGCGATAAAGTGTAGTCTTACCAGTTTCGGGCGGGATTATATTATCCCTACCTTAGTAGGTACGGATGAACCGAGAATGTTCAGGAGAATACAATTCATTGCCTCAGCCTTCATGACAGTTCAGTTAAACCACATATTGATCTCACGTTACGCAACGTAAAATCGTGGCGATTTATGTACACATTTGAAGGAAATTATGATTGGTATAAATCTGGAATATTCACATTTAAGTATAAATATTTCAGAATTTTTTACCTATGTCTAATGCGTTATAAATACGATTATTTTGGTTTTACAAATGACTAAGTTAGCAAACCTAGTGTATCTATATAGTCTTTCAATTAGTCTTGAATTTTGAAATTTTGAAGTTATTCATTAAAAACATCTCTCATCAAATATAATTACATACTTTTTAACAACAATTACTTCGAGGCTTCGATGTACACAGGCGTAAAGACATGTGGTAGCGGGTACACTACAGAAATACGAAAAACTTTATTCCGTCAGTCACACATACGAATTTCAAAATACCGATTTTCATAATTCCGAATGGTCCAAAATGTTGAATATAACAACTCCGATTTATCATGAATTCTATTTTTAAATTAAAAAATCTCAATATTCCTAACGTTTATAATAACAAAAATCAAAATAACGAGTTTCAATAGATTGAATAACAAAAAGTGATAATTCGAAACATCTATAATTGACCAGTCACCAACAATAGAGGGGATCATGGGCTTTAATGGTCGCAGTTCTAGATGGTATAAGTAGAAGAAGAAAACACAAAACACAATATTAATACACAAATATTAAAAACAAAGGTGACGTTTTTAAATAACATTAAACGTTACTTATATATTTAAAATATTTATATATATGTAACTGAATATTATGCTAACTGAATCAGAATCTTAATTTTATCAGTTTATTCGAAGTATTGAAAATCGGAATATCGTTTTTCGGACCGAGAACCCATCGACCATTTGATTCTTCGAACGTTTAAAAATCGGGAAACAAACAAATCGCATTTTTAACTTTCGGTAAAATAAATGTCGTGTCAGAAATTCGGACTTTTGAATATCGAAACTCGAAATAAAAATATTTCGTAGTATTTGGGTGTTCCCCGTGACAGAGGAGACGAAGATTACAGAAAAAACCGTATGCTTGTAATCTATCTCATTCTCTCGTAGGCTAAATCCTATTTATGAATACGTTTGTCTATTTTTACTGTCGCTTTTTCGTTTCATCGAATTTTCAAATATCACCGGTGCTAAATAAGTTTCACTTCAAAAACTTGGCATAAACTCTGTAACAACCCGTCGGGCCAGTGTGGTATAATAGGCCAAAACCAGAGGAGAGGCCTATGGCCAGCAGTGGATTATTAAAGGCTGTTGATGATGATGATTATAAATGATTTATAAATTTGAATATGCAGTAGACATATTTCTCCTCATCAATAGACGACACGTACATCTTTTTTTGCAGCTAACAGAAATCTTTCATTTAAAAATAAATGAGGCATAAATAATGTCTACAATCAAAAATCTTAAAGTATAAATCGAATTAAAGTAAGTTATCTTAGTTCGTTCTTAATCTTTATAGCGTAGTTTCAAACAGCGCCTTTTAAATTATAATTTTACAAATTCTCTGGCAGAATTACATAGCATTGCAAGTGCCAAAAAGGTAATACACCAATGAACAGTAGTTATCGGTTCGTCCTTAGCAACAACTTTTTTGCGACCTATTTTACTATCGATACTCAACGTTTTTATTGTTTATGCATCGCTTCGCGCAGGACATAATCAAGCTTTCTTGTATAAAGATTTGCTTTTAATAAATAAAGTAGAATTAGTTTAAAAATGTTTTTATACAAGTAATTAATAAATACTTATACAGGATAAGTATGTGTACAAATTAAAGAAAAGTGGTAATCATAAACAGTTGAGTAAAACGGTTGGTATTCGAAATAAGATCTCTAAATAAACCATCCGATACGAGTAACATGCGAACAGAGTTCTATTTCGTTTGAAGATACACAGCAGACAAATCACAGACTGGAAGCCATGTATCCTACAATTCCCCATATGACTGAAAGCCCTTCAATCCTTAAAAAATGGTAGTCAACTCACGAGTAATACACCGATGGGTCTAACAAGGTCTATTAATCATTCTTATTTTATCAACTTTTGTTGTCGTTCAATCAAATGCCAATAAATAACGCATTTCAGATGACATAACCGTACTACTAACATTATTACGAATTACGAATTTATGATTGATAAAGTGAGAAACATTAAATTTATCATCGAAATACTTACATTTGCAATTGTTCTTAAAAGACTCACCAAAGACGTTCTATTTACATTAAATATAAAATAGTTACGTTATTATGTCTGCAAAGAGCCAGTAAACAGGACATTGGGAGTAGGTGCTTAAAATTAAATGATGTCTATAAGCTTATGTACTATGCTGTGCTGTGGTATATTTGCGCTAGGTCAAGTACACTTTCTAGGTCAAAGCAAATTTTTAATATCGTTGATGTATACCCTATATACATCCATGGACAATAATATCCACATAACACAAACAGGTGTAGGTATTAAAAAAAATAAAGGCAAAAAAAACTACTTGATATTACTCACGTCTTGCTTTCCTGTTCACTAGTTTCTTATTCATCACACAATACTTAATGTTGTAATTAAATATATTGTCAAGTGGAAGCCACAGTACACGTCTGGTCGCTATGCAGCCGCGTGCCTTGTATCGGACTACCGTTGCCGCTGACAACGTCTAACAACCTTACAGCAACACCAGCACCCCGTACATCGTACCAGTGTGCGAAAAGGATTACATATATAACCATGACGGTGGTAGAAAGGGATGTAATAAAGGGGTTGGTGCCGTATGGTGTACTAACGGCCAAGGTCCGTGTTCACTCAACAGTGACACGTGGGACGTTTGCAATTAAATGAACATCTGTTTTTCTAAACTACCAATAAAAATGTAATACTACCCACTGGTGATTATTGGGGGTAAGTAGTACAAGGTTAATGCGATTGTTCACCTGTACTTTTATTAACAAATTAGGAAAATAGATAGAAAGAAAACTTTTTATTTGTATACTGTTTCACAAGAAGTATGGTACATAAAAATGACAGACATTTAATGTATAAAGGGTGGCCTTATTGCTAAGAGCAGCATATGCAGTTGTTATGTGTTTTACGACTTGTGTGATTAGATTCTAATAATGTCTATAGATAGCTGATGTTAGTATCCGGTCAGCATTAAACTACTCTCTAGGCATTATTAGGTAGGTAAAAAATAGTTTGGTTTGTGTACCTATGTGGTGCCAAACCTATTTAGCGACAACAAAGTTTTTTCTGCTAGTATTTTAATTACATTAAGCTACATAATATATTTAGTTGAATTATTATTAGACCACATAAACTATAATAAAAACGATTTTATTGGCAATAGCAGTTAATGATCTCTTATCCTGTGCTTATATTAAGTTCATTGTCCGAGTTATAAAGATTCACTTGTTATTTATTACTTCCGATTTTATTATTGACTTGTTTACGGTCATGTCATACAGCATGAGCCCACAATGATTGGTACAGTGCTTTATGCGGATGTTGCGGCTTTGTTAAAATTGACGTTCGAGAGAAGCGTGCGCGCGTCCTAATGCGAAATGTTGATGCCTGTGCCATTGTCGACTATCGGGACTACAAACACTAACTTGTCGCGACTGGGGTGCATGTGCAGCGTGTAGCATCTTGCGGATTCAGTGGCGGGCTTCGGTGCTCAGTGTTATCGCTACGATACGCGACTGGAGGAAGACACAACTCTCACTGCGCGCGCCGCGTTCGGTTGTGGTCACTCGCCCACCTCCTCGCCTCGTTCACTCGGACGTGCTGCGGCTCCGACTTACACCTCAGTGCTCTGTCACACGGGTATCCGTATGCGCGTTTTACCGTACGTCGCGTAGTTTCTCTCGAAAATTAATTAGTATGTGAATGCGACGTTTTTATTTGAAGAAACAAAACCGAGTGAAATGTTGTTCCATTACTGATCAGCTGCAGATTGCTTCGTCTTTGAACAGATTTCATGTGAGGGACTGACCACTTTTTTTCAATTTAAGGTGAGTTAAACACTAGATACTGCATAGTTCCCGATTATTTACTAAGGTCTTGCCAACTTTCACAAGTCACATTACGACTACTTGTGAGTTTTAACAGATAAGTGTTTGTGAATTATTTCAACTACTATATTGTGACTTGATAGTACGAATTACTAAGGTACCTAGTTATCGAGAATACCTTGTGTAGGTCATAAAGTCAGATGTCCCACTTCTCACCGAAACGACATCGAGTTACCAAGTGGCAAACTGTTATTTTGTCTGCATATCGGTTACGATTTTTGCTACTGATCTAATTTGCAGTAGCTGCTTAGAACGGTAATTCATTCTTTTCTAGTTTTTTTTTATGTGAAAAGGTCTGATAGTATATCTACTCAATATTTACAAATAATGACTGTTGCAAAATCTGGCCAAGGAACACATTTTAACTTTTTATGTAGTCAGAAATAAACAAAACATATTCTATTAGTTTTGGCATTATTTTCTACCAAGTCGTTGTCCATAATATTCGTAATGATTCTAATTCAGTAGGTACACTAAGCAGCAGCTGATTGTATTGGATTAAGATCTTTGGATGAACCGAACTAAAATCAACTAAAATGATTTTAGCAACAGGAACTTGATATAAAACACTGGTACTAGGCCAAAAAAGAAATACAGAAAAAAACACAAGTACATCTCATAATTGCTCCAAGTACCTGTTTTTTTTATATTTGTGTTACCAATAAGCGTTAAACTGATTAATTAAATAATTTTTCCTTGTATAAAAATAGCAGTTACACGGATAAATGTTTAATAAAGTGCAGTCCACACCGTATTGTTCATATTGTTAAAATAACTAAACGGACACGTAGGGTTAAAATACAGTGTTAATGTTAAAATGGGTCCCGAAGTCAATCTGAAAAAAAATGTTGTTGTGTAGGATATAAAATTATAAACCACTTACGTAGTAAAGAAGCTGAGGAGAGTGTTTGCAATACCTGTTGGAAAAGCCTATATTTTTCTATACTAAACTATCTAAGATAGACTATCGGAAAAGTGAAATCAATTGTTTAGAGATTCCCAATGCTTCTTAGAGCAATATTCGTATACAACTATGTGTGGATACCTACTCTGTTTGCAAATGAAGATGCTGTAGTAATTTCATTGACTTCAACGTAATAGAATGTAACTCAGCTGTGGGCAAATGTAGCTATGTGATTGGATTGGATGTTACTTTCTCAAGGTAAACACTGTTTATATAAGATGTGACAATCTAAAACCACAAACAATCGCACTAAGAAGGTAGTAAGTTCAAGTTTTTCAAACTTCATATAAATGACAAATGCTAAATATTTATGTATATAATTCGGTTGTAAAATATGTTTAGAAGAATAATATTTATAAACATGGCTAAGCTTTCTGATAGAGGTTACAGAATAAAATAGGTACCTTATAGGAATATAAAATCGAAGATATGCTACCTCCTATAGGACCTCTAATACGAGTATTTATGGAATATCTATATTGTGTGTCTTCGTCTATATTCCTATAGGTATAAGTACATTTACTCACATGGTCCTGGAGGAAAATGGTGCAGAACTACAAACTTCCATACATACATACAAATTAATAAAATTGAAGTGTCTGTTTGTAATGTTAAAATAATAGGTTTTTCATGCCTACACCGGTTATTCGCACGATTCTTATGCCTAAAAACCAATTAAAATATATTTTGTCTGTCTGTTTGTACCAGGTAATCTTCAAAACAGCTGCACTGATTTTGATAATATTTTACTACCAGGTAGCTGTCTATATGAGGAATCAGGCTATTTTTGAACTCAGAAAAACCCTTTAAAATTTTGCCCGGTCCGGGGATCGAACCCGAGGTTTCATGGATTGCAGTCGCGCACCGTACAACACCACTAAGGCAGCGCATTCGTTATATATATATGTATACATAGGAAAATTCTACAACTTGCGTTTCTTATATACACTATATACAAAAAGCTTTACTATATACCTACTAGAAACCTATGTCATTGAAAAAGAAACCTGACCAGAGTTTTACTTATTACATAGGATCATGTCAGCCTCAAAGTAGAAGTTTTAGTTCTGTGATACCTACACGATAAATGAAACAAAAGTATTGTAAATCGAAATGATTGAAAGTGCGTCATTTTTGCAAAATGTGAACGTTAAATTTGGGCGATTATCCTGATCAGGATGTTCAGGTTTTTTTTTAATGGCAGAGGGGCAAACGAGCAGACGGGTCACAAGATGGAAAGTGACTACCGCAGTCCATGAGCGCCTGCAACTCAGGAGTCACAAGTGGAAGTTTTAGGAAGGAGTACGCTCTTTTCTTGAAAGTTTGAAGGACGTATAGGTCCGGCAATACCGCGGACTATAACTTTTCGGCTTTTTACATACCTAAAAAATATGCTAGTGTCTTTTGCTACTTACTAAGAGGCATGTGTTGAAGCATATGTGACTTACTTACTTGTTACTTTTTTAGTCGTAATGAGAAAATGATCATCATTAGTGACTAAAAAGTAAAACTAAATTACAGTTTAAAAAACGAATTAACACGCTTTTGTAACTAGCCGAACTAAAAAGTAGAAAATAATTTTCTATAACTTCAAAAATAAAAATCTTTTTATCGTAAAAAAGTTTTTACTTTTACCAATATCTGTCAATAAAATATTGTTACCAAAATTGAGATCTAGCACCCCACGCATTTTTATTAGTTTTTTTAAACTAAAATTTATTACAACTATCCAGTATCCGTGTTTTTGAAAAATAATAATAATATTTAGATATCTAACACACACCGCCATCTAGTTTCAAACTAAGCAGAGCTTGTACTATGAAAGCTAGATTGACTGATAGAATACTTATATAATGTTTTTTTTGTAAATACATACATATTATACATAGAAAACACCCAAACTCATAAACATATATTTGTAGATCATACAAACATTTGGTAAGACCTGGGAATCGAACCAGAGACCTCAGTAGAGCAGTCGCATACGCTACCACTTCGCCACCGAGGCAGTGAAAATACATATTTACTTACTAATACTATGACGCTAAGCAGGTAATAGTTGGCCAAAACCTCCTTTCTAAGGAGAGGCCTATGTCCAGAAGTGGACTAGTAAAGGCTGTTGAAGAAGGAGGTACTAAGATGTCAAGACTTAAGGATTTAGTAATCAAATACTTGTTTTTTTTTAATATTTATATAAATGGCAACAGTCAGCCTCAACATTGATAAAATACATTTGGGATGACTGTTTTAAGTCTACGATGCGTACAGACGCACAATAACCTTGACGAAAGCATCTCCAGTAAATACGTAAACAACAGTCATAGTTAAATGGTTGTGGTTACCTAAATGGTTTAAAATAATTCTAAGGTTCGAGGTTCTAAGACTGACATTTGCTATTATTTTGAGATAGAGTCAATCTCTTCGTTGTTTCATTCAATAGTTAATTAGTATTTAACTCTATTTATTCTATTTCTACTATTGATTAAAGAAACGTACCCTAAAGGTTTATTTTAAGTTATATTGACTAATTATTTGCGCTGTGTCGGAATTAGGTAAAATCTAAGGTTTGATTAGCCTTATTTTGACTTGTGTTGACTTAAAAGCTCGATATTTTAAAGGCATTATGAGATTGAAACCTTTAGTAATCGTTGGTGAGAAAAATAGTATTGACTGCCAAAAAGACGGCCCAAAAAAGTGTTCGTACAGGGGTTTTTCTTTTTCTTTTGAGGAATGGAACCCTAAAAACCAGTCAAAATAATCTTGATGAATCATGTCATCGAAGGCATAGTGTGGCGGCCACTTTCTTTCTGGCAGTCTAAAGGAGGTTAACGGCGATTTTCGATGTGCTTGGAATTGCAAAATGGTATAGGTACGCACGTAGAGTATTTATATGCACTACCATAGAATATAAATAACTGACAATTTGAGAGATACATCAACCGATTATGCATACTTAGGTATGTACACATTGAAAAATAAAAAAATATGAATTAAATTTTCTTTTCGAAAATGTATTTCATAATTAAGTCTTATATAAATACGAATTATGTGCATCATTTGTTTACTTTTTTAGTACTTTTACAGTTTTGTCAATAATATGATAGTTATAATATAAAAATATTACGGGTCATCATTATACTTCTGAATTAATATTGTAAATGTTATCTGTCTTTTAATAGTAAGTAGCATTATTATTACTCTAATGTCAATAAAGTTTCTATTCACAAACACTAACGCTAGGTCAAAGTTTGTGAACAAAGACTGTTTGTTTTCAAGTTATGTGATAAACTCATTGATGACTCTTATTATGCGTAGGCAATTAGCTGAAGACTCAAGAAGTTCAAGACGTAATAATAACTGTAGTAGATGTATATCGCAATGGTGTCATACAACGAAAACTACGTCACCTTGACTCCGATATTCAGACCTTAATATGAACACTCGTATGCACCGCACCAGCACCTCTGGTTTGGTGATGAAACATGGTTTTTATGGTACGTTGAAAGACTATGGATATAATGAATAAGGCACTAGGACAATATTAGGATTTGTAGGCACGTTAATTTATTCAAAACAAACAATAAAATAGAAAATATATACCTACCTACTGAGATAATCAAATATGGTAAGTTATTTTTTTTGTAGGATTCTGTACTTATTTTGAATATTTGCTTTCAAATGTAATCGAAACTACGATAAATGGTACACAGATACTTTTGTATATACTTTCAGATTGTTACAGAGTTACATATAACAGTGTTTGTAACGGGTTCCCTAATTCGACCTCAAGTAAGGATCCCGCTTGCATTTACATACATTGTAC